CCCCTCCCCGACATCTGCTGGTCTGGCTGGGATCTGTGCTGAAGATGAGGTGGTTCCTTGGCCGGCCTTGCTGGCTCCTTCATCCAATCCTAGGGCTGCTGCAGGGGGTCACTTCCCTCTCTCCCCACTGGCCAGCCTTGACCAGAAGCCTCTGCTTGTGGGCCCCGGTCTGGGCCCCTCCAGACCTTGCTGCCCCTGCCTCGTGGTGCCTGCGTCTCCTGGAGGGCTGGGGCCCAGCCTCCCCCCTCAGCTCAGACGGTTTTACAAGTACTCAGAGCTTGCCAACATTTTTTCCTTAAGTACTCCTCAATTTTAGAAATTTAAACCACACCATATGTTATGGCCCAGGGGCCTGGGGGAGGTGGTCCAAGTGGTCTGGGGGTTGACTGTTTTCCTATAATAAATTTTGCACTGCCTGCCTGGTCCTTCCTGCAGCCACTCTCGCAGGAGCCTGTGTTCCTTCTCAGGACTGCAGATGCCCCAGCAGCTGGGAGAGGAGCCATGTGGCTGAAGCCCCAGCCCCAGCTCTGAGGCCTCCAAATGACCCCCAGGACCCTTGTCCCCAAACCCAGATAGTCTTTACCTCGCACTCTTTCTCAAGGTGCAACTCATGTCTCGGCTCCAAGAAGCATTTTCCCAAGGGTAGACCAGGCTTTCCTGGTGGCTCAGCAGTAAAGAATTCTCCTGCCAATGCAGGAGACACATGACCAATCCCTGGGTTGGGAAGATCCCCTGGAGGAGGGCATGGCAACCCACTGCAGGATTCTCGTCTGGAGAATCCCATGGGCTGAAGAGCCTGTCGGGCTAGAGTGCATGGGGTCTCAGAGTTGGACATGACTCAGTAACTAAACAACAACAGACTGTGGGACAGTGGTCATTCGAGAGGATCTGTGAAAGAAACGACTCTCACCGACTCAATGGACATGAGTTTGAGTAGACTCCGGGAGTTGGTGATGGACAGGGAGGCCTGTCCTTCCTAAAGGCAGTGGGGAGCTCCGAGGGCTCTGCATGCTGCAGTCCATGGGACCGCAGAGAAGTTGGTCACGACTGAGCATCTGAACCGAACTGTGAAAAAACACTTCTGTGGTTAGTTACTTGTGGACGTGACTTTTTGCCGCATCTCTCCCTTGTAAAGATTTACCCGGCCTGTGAGCACATTAACGGCTCTTGAGAAGTCCTAAGGTAAAGAAACCAGCTCAACTGATACCAAGGCATTTCCCAGACTTGCCCCCACTTCCCTAATTTCACATCCTGCTGAATACATCTGGGGCTGCAGAACACCGCCAGGGGTCTTCACGGCCTGGCCTCCAGCTTTCGCTCCCAGACCCCCCACGCTGGGAGCTCCAGCCGCCGCCTCCCAGTCTCATCTTGACATGCCCACCTGGTCGCCTTTGTCCGGGCTGTTCCCGGAAAGCGCGGCCCCGACTCTAATCTTTCTCCTGCGTCTCTGCTGCATCCCACAGAGCCTTCTCTGCCTCCGGCCAGAAGCCGTCGCTCCTACCTGCTGCTCTGTTGTGCTTCTGCAGGTCCCTGGGGTCGGGGCTTCCACAGCCGGAGAGGTGGGTTCTGAGGAGCCCCGCTTACAGAGGGGGTGACAGCGCATCACCAGATGGATCGAATGCGGTGTCACAAGAGCAGTGGTGGACAGCGCCCCGGGAAGTGAGGAGGGCGGGAGGTGTTGGGGGGGAATGCTGTCCTAGGTTAGCCTGGGCGAGCCAGGAAGGCTCCTGACAGTTGCTGCAGCTGAACCAAAGTTTCACATGCTGATGGGGAAGCCAGGAGCAAATGAAAAGAAAGGAGAAGGGCCTTTCATGTGCAAAGGTCCAGAGCAGGGGCTCTCACCTGGGGGCATTTGGTGGAGTCTGGAGATCTTTTTGATTAACAAGAATAGGGAATGTGCTCCTAGCATCTAATACACCTGGGCCAGAGATGCAGCTGAATGTCCTGCAATGCACAGGACAGCCCCTCCCAGCCAAGAATTATCTGGGCCTGAAATGTCAAAAGTGTTGCGGGTAAGAGGCCTTCGTGCGTAGAGGGAAATGAATGTGTGTTGGCAGGGAGGTCAGTGTTACAGAAGTGAAAAGGTCAGGGGACAGGGACCTTCTGGGAGGCAGGGCCTGGAAAATCATGGTGGGGAGTTTGCACCATCCTAAGGGCAGTGGGGAGCCCCGAGGACTCTGAATCCCACGGTTGGTCTCTCTGCCCCTCAGGTAGTGGAGGAAGGGGAGGAGGAGGACTGAAGGCAGGAGGCTATCCTGGGAGCTGCTGCCCTAGCTGTGGAAATAGACACCAGGGCCTTGGGAAATGTCAGGTGTGGGAAGTGAGGAGAAGGGGCAAGGGGAGTCCGTGCTTTCCACTTTGAGTCACTGAGTGGGTGCGGGTGCCCCCGGGAAAGGCAGGGTGCCCAGGACGGTGGCTGGGCTATTAGCTCTCCGGGCAGAGATGATGGCATGTGTCCTGAGTGTCCCCGCTACCACCCCCCAGCCCCACCCCGCACAGCGCTGGACGCATGTCTGTCATTCATTGTGAGTTGGTTTCAACGAGGCAGGAGGGGGCCCAGGAAGCTTCCCTCCGTGGGCCCCTCCCTTCTGCCCACTCAGATCTCTTTCTGGAGAGCTGACACTGGGCTGGCTCTTGTCCCCCAGAGTCTGACAGTGGGTGTTTGCTGGGAGTCTGGCTGGCACATCCCTGCTCAAAGTCAAAACTCACTCCTGGAGCCGAAATCTCTCTCTCTCCAAACCCTGACTTAAAGGCGTCCATCCCAGGGGTGAAGTCCAGTCGTTGGATGCTGCCCAGAATCCTGTGTCAGTTGCCCACATGTGGCCAGCTTTGCTCTGGGGGTGGTTAGAGGACGCCAGCCTAGGGTGGGCTTTGGGATGGGCTGAACGCTATTGAGATCTGACTCAAAGGCAGCAGAGTGCTGTGAGGAGGCGAGTTTTAGAACCA